CTTGTTATCTCAGATTCTCCAGCATCTGCAGTTCCTACTATCGCTGCATCTGTACAGTGCCTTGCAACTGAGCTCCCTGTTGTTGGCCCAGAAAATTTCAGTGCAGGGCATCAGTGGCTGCAATCACAGTTATCTTTTAAGGTGCAATGTCTTTTAAAACTTGTCTATTGTCAGCTAATCAGCACTGACTTACCACCGACTATCTTCTCTGCCTGGATTCGGGTCATCAGCCATTGCTTGGTTTCCATGTTAATGTCCTCAGTTAACTCCAGGGCAACCAGAGGCTGCACTGCCTTGGAAATACAGCATTTACAGGTAGGCCTGGTCCAAGATCCCATGGCTGCTCGTATCCATGGAAAAGAATGGAAAGTGTAAACCAACAGGATTTATAATCACAGAATATCAGTCTGTTAACCGAAATGGTTCCTACGTATTAGTGGAGCTGTAAATGCCACGTGATGCATCAATGATCAGAAAGTTTTTGCCATTTAAACGCATTATTTTGCCTGCACTGACGAAGTAATGCTAACATCAGCTATGTACTGTATTGTAAATTTGACCCAAGCCTGTCCTGATAAATAGTTTTGGGATGCAGGGGATAGAGGTTACACCAATACAATTTGTCTTTTGTATTGCCTATTGATGTAAAAGTGACTTTTCCTGAAACATCTTTGTGAATTGACCTAATCTTTCTACTGCCGTGAACCTGATGATAAATTGAATAAGAGGCGACCAATGCAGCCATCAGCATGATAATAAGGCAGCCTCAGGGGACTTGTGTCAATTCTCATCCCAAAATGATGAATTATGATTAAACATCTGAATCATTTTTCACGACTGCCTGAGTGTCAGGTACAGATAGATCAAATATCCAATTAGCAGTTGATATGAAGGAGATACATTGCTGTGGCAGCGTTATCCCTATTCTGCTGACAAATGGGCAAACCATTCACCCATTCCTCCCTGAGTCCTTGTGTTGCTTTGTGCAACTAGAGGATGTGCAAATCAGTGGAGGGTATTTTCTCTTTGTTACTTCTATCCATCACCCACCTCCTCCAAAGTTGGTCCTAAACTTGATAAGGAACAATGTCACAGGGCAGTAAGTGAGAGAGTGGACTATAATCGTTGTTTAAAACCTAACAGAATAACATAAGTAATATGTAACAACAAGCCTGAATGTTAATTTTCTACTCTTTGGACTTGGCAGGAGAATATTAACCATGAGTGTCAGTGTGGACTCAATTGGCCGAATGGCCTGCTTCCACACTATAGGGATTCTATGGTTCTATGTGGCAACCTGGTACATAGAAGTAGGATGATAATACTGCAGTATTCCCACTGGATCGGTAATCCAGCAATTCAGACTAATACCATGGGGATGCAATAAATAGAAAATCTGGAAAAGGAAGCTGGTCTGACTAATAGCGCCATAGGACTGCCACTATTTGTAATCAAACCCCATCAGCTTCACTCATTTCCTTCAGGGAAGGAAATCTGCTATCCTTAGCCAGTCTTACATTGACTCCAGCCCCACAGCAATGTAGCCCTGTGAAATGGCCCACCAAGTCACTCAGTTCAGGGATAACGAAGGATAGGCAACAAATGCTGGCCTTGCCAGTGAAATCCACATGTTAAGAAAGAAGATACAAAAGAATCGAATTAGTGTATAGCACATGGGTAAGCAGCACCTGAACAGGACGGAGAAATGGGATCTTGTAGTAACTGAAGACTGTGATACCCTGTACTATATGACTTTTACTAACATCAAATAGGCAACTTTTTGCTTGCAAATCTGTAGCAGAATGCGGCCTCCTTTTACGTTAATTCTTTTCACTGAAAAGTCAAAATGAAGCCAAATAAATGTTAAACAGGAAGTATAATCTGTGCATTCCAATGCTACTAAATAATTGAGACTTACCTGCACAGATGAGGATTTAAGATGGAAGCCTAATTACAGGACTGCAGGAGGAGACAGCTACGTTGCCTGACCCATCCTCAATCTGGGCTACATGAGTAGCTTCTTTCCTTTCCTTGTACCAGCACAGGGAGGGGAAGTCAGTAAAATCAACTCCAAACAAGTTAAACAAGCTTCCGGGAATGTTGTCATGCTAAGACCCTCCCATTTCTCTGTCAGAGTTAGTGATCAGTATAGAACCCAATTTAACACGAGAGAAAGGAAAGAAGATTTGCCAAACTTTGATTACAAATAATGTCCACAGGGTTTACCGGACACTTTTTTAACACCTTATTAGCTACTGCTGCAGTTGGTATTGCTGAAGGAAACATTAGCTCCTGAACTGACCCAGTAGGTTCGCCAAAACATGAAATTAGTGGCTCAACTGAAGGCGTGTACTATCAGGAAAAGGCCTCCGTGTTGTTCATCAGATTGACTTGTCAAACCTGTTTGGCTCAAATGGTTTGGAAGGTGCACTGCTGCTGTTCAGCAGGGTGTGGAAGACAGGTAGCCAAGTAACTACTTGCTGTCTTTTCTTTAGGCCTTTTGTTTGCCAATCAATAGGGAGACGAATCAAGTTAATGCCTGGAAGGCAAACAGTCCCACCCTGAATGGTTGTGGTGAGCAGCTATGAAGGTTGAGTTGATTTTTAGAATCATTTCAATGAGGCACCCAAACTCACACTGACAGCTTTGAAATAATTTATTAATTATGTTACCATTTAAGAGAGTCAAGTCCTTTAAATCACAGGGCAAACTTCAAGAACACAGCCATGGTTCTCTTCCCTGTAGTTTGTGTGATCAACAGGTGGAGTTATATAGTGAATGCAGCGCAGATAGAAGCCATAGAGTCCTACAGCACGGAGACAGGCCCTTCAGCCCAAACTGGTCCATGTCAACCAAAATGTCCATCCACACTAACCCCATTTCCCTGCACTTGGCCCATATCCTTCTAAACTTTTCCTATCCATGTATTCATCCAAATGCTTTTTAAATGTTGTTAATGTACCCGCCTCAACCACTTCCGCTGGCAGCTCATTCCATATGCTTACCACCGTCTGTGTAAAAAAGTTGCCCCTCAGGTTCCCGTGTATTCTTTCCCCTCTTACCTTAAACTGATGTCCTGTAGTCCTCGATTCTCCAACCCTGGGAAAAAGACTGAGTGCATTCACCCTACCCATGCCTCTCATGATCTGATACACTTCTGCAAGATCCCCCACTCAGTCTCCTACGTTCTAAAGAAAAATGTCCTAACTTGTCCAACCTCTACCTATAACTCAGTCCCTTGAGTCCTGGCAACATCCTTGTAAAGTTCTTCTGCACGCTTTCCAGTTTAATAACATCCTTCCTCTAGCAAGGTGATAAAAAATGATCACGATACTCCAAGTGCGGCCTAACCAATGTCCTGTACAACTGAAATATAACTTCCCAACTTCTATACTCAATGCCCTGACTGATGAAGGCCAGTGTGCCAAAAGCCTTCTTCACTGCCCTGTCTACCTGTAACTTCACTTTCAGAGAACTGTGCACCTGAACTCCAAGATCCCTCAGTTCCACTACACTCCTTAAGGCCCGACCATTCACCACAAAACTCCTAAGTTGATTTGACTTTCCAAAATTCAACACCTCACACTTATCTATACTAAACTCCATTTGCCACTTCTCAGCCCACTTTCCTAGCTGATCAAGATCCTGCTGCAATTTCTGATAACCTTCCTCACTCTCCAACGTAACACCTATTTTAATGTCATCCGCAAACTTACTAATCATGCCTTATACATTCTCACCCAAATCATTGACATAGATAACAAGTGGCAATGGGCCCAGCACTGACCCATGAGCCACACCACTAGTAGGTCTCCAGTCTGACAAGCATCCTTCCACTATTACTGTCTGCTTCCTACCATCAAGCCAATTGTGTATTCAATTTGCCAGCTCTCCCTGGATTCCATGTGATCTAACCTTCCAGAGCAGCCTATCATGTGGCACCTTTTCAAAGGCCTTACTGAAATCCATATAGACCATGTCTACTGCCCTGCCATCTTCCTGGTTACTTCATCGAAGATCTCTAACAAATTTGTAAGGCATGATCTCCCACTCATGAAGCCATGCTGACTACTCCTACTCAAACCCTGTCTTTCCAAATGCATGTATACTTTATCCCTCAGAATCTTGTCATGTAACTTACCTACCACAGATGTTAAGCTTACTGGTCTATAATTCTCAGGTTTTTCTTTGCAGTCCATCTTGAATGAGGGCCCAACATTCGCTACCCTCCAGTCTTCCGGGACTTCACCCGTGGCTAATGATGATGCAAATATATCAGCCAGGGTCCCCACAATTTCTTCTCTAGCCTCTTGCAGAGTTCTTGGATATATCTGGTTAGGACCAGGAGGTTTATCCAATTTTATGCATTCTACTAATTCCAACACCCTCTCTAATGGAGGGTGATATGGACTGTCCCCAAGAAACCATCACTAACTTCCCCAGGTTCCCAAGTCTTCATGTCTTTCTCCATGGTAAAAACAGGGGAGAAATATTCATTGAGGACCTTGCCCATCTCCTGCAGTTCCATACATACACATCCACTTTGGTCCTTGAGGGGTCCTATTCTCTCTCGAGTTATTCTTTTACCTTTAATGTACTTAAAGAATCTCTTTAGATTCACCCTAGACTTCTCAGCCAAAGTTACTTTGTGCCGCTTTTTGCCCTCCTGATCTTCTTGTTCAGTAAAATCCTGTATACCCTGTATACCTCCAGGGATTTCCTTGATCCCAGCTGCCTCTACCTGACCCATGCCTCCTTCTAGTTTCTGGTCAAAGCTTCAATATCTCTTGTCATCCAGGGTTCCCCACTCCTCCCAACCTTGCCTTTCACCCTCACAGGAACATATAGACCTTGAACTGTAGCTATCACACTTCTAAAGACCTCCCACTTGCCAGAGGTCCTTTTGCCTGCAAACAAACTACTTCAATCAACCCCGGCAAGCTCCTGTCCGATTCCACCAAAATTTGCCTTGCCCCAATTTAGGACTTAAACCTGTGGACCAGTTTTGTCCTTCTCCATAACTATTTTAAAATTAATAGAACTATGGTCACTGGCCCCAAAGTGCTCCCCGACCGTCACCTCAGTCACCTGTCCTGCCCTATGTCCCAAGATTAGGTCGAGTTTTGCCACTTCCTGAATAGGACCCTCTATATACTGCCTGAGGAAACTTTCCTGAGCACATTTAACAAATCCCACCTCATCTAAGCCCTTTACACCATGGTAGTCCCAGTCTATGTTAGGAAAACTAAAATCTCCTACTATGACAACCCTACTGCTCCTGCAAATCTTCATAATCTCCCTGCATATGTGTTCTTCTAATTCCCGTTGACTATTTGGGGGCCAATAGTACAACCCCATAGACGTCACTATCTCCTTCTTATTTCTTAGCTCCACCCACAAAGCCTCACTGGATGATCCCTCAGTTATTTCATCTCTGACCACTGCTGTGATACTCCCCTTAATCAAAAATGCAACTCCCCCTCCCCTCTTTCGTCCACCTCTGTCCTGCCTAAAGCACCTGTACCCTGGAACATTAAGCTGCCAGTCCTGTCCCTCTCTTAGCCAAGTTTCTGTACTGGCTATAATATCCCAGCCCCACATGCCTATCCACACTCTCTCCAGGAACCTGGAGATTTTATCGAATGAATGCTCAACTCATTTGTCTGGTTTTTTTTAAACCTGGTATTTTAACAAAGCCTTTATTTTTTAAAAATTTGTCACCAAGTTTCCAGTCCAAACACGTAGATGCCTAGGGAGTGTGAAAGTAAATGATGAAGCAATAACCAATGTATCATCCACGCTGTGAATTGCTTCATTCACATGAAATTCAAACACAAGGGATCTTGGTCTGACTAAATGCATGAATGGAAAAACTGGTTCTTGGATTAACATCTCAATCTCACTGCGCTAGAATACCAGCAGTTGGACAAGTCATATACCACTGTAGGGTCTCTGTCATAAGCTGTTGAGAATTCAATATAATTTAACACCCTTCCCAGCCCAACTGTCCCCATTCTCCCACAGTATGCTTCCATCTAAGAGTCATGATGAACATAAGAAACATAAGGACATAGGAGTAGGAGTAAGCCATCTGGCCCCTCAAGCCTGCTCCGCTATTCAATAAGATAATGGCTGATCTTTTTGTGGACTCAGCTCCATTTCCCTGCCTGCTCACCATAACCCTTAATTCCTTTACTGTTCAAAAATCTATCTATCTTTGCCTTAAAAACATTCAACGAGGTAGTCCCAACTACTTCACTGGGCAGGGAATTCCACAGAGTCATACCCTTTGGGTGAAGAAGTTCTTCCTCAACTCAGTCCTAAATCTGCTCCCCTTACTTTTTAGGCTATGCCCCCCAGGTCTAGCTTCACCTGCCAGTGGAAACAATCTCCTTGCTTCTAACAACATGCAGCAAATAATCCCTTTTGATTCAGTGATCTTCACAGCGTGCACTTTCAATGATTGCTGTGAAGGCCAATCCTTGAGTGGAAGGCTCTGCCACAAATGCCACACATGAAGCTGTTAAATGACATTGTGAGTCCTTGTTTTTGGGCACCTGTTGCCAAGATGCTACAGCCACTGACCATCACAGTAGTTCCAGAAGCTCACATGAAGTATTGTCATTCCCCTCTTCCCACCAGCCAAAGACTCCAAGAAGTGATGGTTAATATCTAGGACCTTCACATCACATTTGCCAGCATCTTTGAAGGGACCGTTGGGTGCCCCGCCGGTCATTTGGCTCTGGCTACCTCAGCATACTATCTTCCACCATAGAGATATGCCCAATTCACTGAAGCTGCTCCTTCACTGGTGATAACACATTTGGTGATCTACCTTTCAGAGAAAGGGATGATTGATTGATTTTATTGTCATATGTACCAAAATACAGTGAAAAGCTTTGTTAGTGAGTGGTACAGGCAGATCACAGCAAGCAAAGGATGTACAGATCAAAAAGACTTAGAGGCTTACAGGTTACATTGCAGGTTACATTATTTACATTTGTGACTTCATCACATCAAGATATATTAGTATTGGGCCTCAGGCACTGAGAATAGAAATTATTGACCCTCTTTCCCTGATATCTGCAAGTAACCCATATTTCACAGTAAGGTATGGAGAAGACAGCCAAGCCTTCAGCTTAGACCTAAGGGTCTTGTAGGTCAAGGTGCATTTCATATGTTGGTCATAGATTGTTGGCTATAGTTGTTTTCCCTATAGTATCATGGGACAGATTGTCTGTTGCTGTGGACCTAAGGTAGCAGAATGCGCTAATCACTTTTAGAGGGATGTTATTTAAGTGTTTAGGGATAGAGATACCCGACAATGTCCCACAACCAC